CTCTAATACTACATAACAATTTGTGTGTGTCAAGTTTCTAATCATTTCATCAGAATTGTTTTTAAAGTTGTTTGAATATGATTGAGTACTGCCATACACTGCCATGGGTTGTTCTTCTTTTAGTGTATGCCTAGCCTTGGCATCTCTCTGTTCCTGGTATTATTGGGAGGAACTGGCTTGTTGGTATTTGTGCTGCAGGGATTCTCACAGCCTGGAGTTTGGCACGCTCCTCATTCTTACACAGTGGAATCTGTTCTTGTTCTCCTTCATTTGTTTTATTTTTACTTCTCCTCCTTGTCCTCTTCCTTCCTTTATTAAGTCACAGGAGTTAATTCTCGCTCTGATTGTATTGGCTGATTAGGTTTAGCCAAGATTTTGCCATTTTATGGCTTTCAGACTTTTATTCACAGAACTTTTTATTTCCCTCCAATGCCATATTGTGGGGAAATAACCTTCTAATTTAACTGTTTCTCATCATGGTCCTTTTCTTCTGAAGGTACTAGCTTTCCAATGCCAATTTTAAAATGTGCTACTAGAACTAAAAATGAATTTTTTTATGTGGCCTATTGTTTTCCTTTATCCAGAGAATGGAGAACATACCGAGAAGTGATTGGGGCTTAAACCCAAGGCTATATCCTCACACTCCCAAGTGATCGCCACTTAATGTAAAGCCACCTCTTTGGGCTTTCATAGGGTAAACATAGATATGCTATTTGGATCTGTTATGGTTTGGATGCGAGATGTCCCCCAAAAGCTCACGTGTGAAACAATGCAAAAAGGTTCAGAGGAGAAATGATTGGGCTGTGAGGGTCTTACCTGATTAGTGATTTAATCCCCTGAGAGGGATAGGGATTAACTGAGTGGTAACTGAAGTGGTAGGGTGGCTGGAGAGAATGGTAATTAGGGCATGGCTTTGGTATATATATTTGTTTCTGGAAAGTGGAGTCTCTCGTCACCCTGATGTGAGCTGCTCTCCTCCGCCACACTCTCCCGCCATGATGTTTAGCCTCACCTGGAGACCTGAACAATGTAGCCAGTCTTCTCTGGACTAAGACCTCCAAAACCATGAGCCTCTGAATAAATTTTTCCTCCTCTATAATTGTTCTGGTCAGATCCTTTAGTCACAGCATTGAAAAAGCTGACTAAAACAGGATCTCCACTTAATTTCACCATCTGTTGTTCTAAGTGCTATAACTTGTGTGCTTAGTTCTTAAGTAGTCTTGCTGTGGAATCTTGGTCTATCTTCCTGAAAGCAATGATGGGGTTTTGGGGATGCAGAGTCTCTAGGAGCAGTGCAGTATGCAAAATAAATAAACAACTTTGCTCTAAATTTTGAATATGAAATCCTCTTACAGATTTGATTGTTTCAGAAGCAGTGAAATGAGTTTTAGCTAATAATAAGGAAAGAATTCCATATATAAGTGCAATGACCTGCTTTTGAACTCTGAGTTTATACAACAGCTTAGAAGTTAGAAGTACAACATATGTTGTTCTTTTAAATAGTTTCTTTTATCTAAATGTTCTAGAAAATGCCAAGTTATTTATATAGAAGATCATCAACTTGAGTCCATTATATAAAATTTTTTCTTTCTTTATTTGAGAAGTTCTTATCCCTAGAGAACACAATTATATAAATATTATTGCAAAGCCTACTATGACTGTATATTAGTTAATAGACAATTTGAAAATATTACATATTTTAAGAACTTTAAAAAAATCTTTGCCATTTTTTCAAAAAAGCTATTGAGTAAAATTTGCTTTACTACAAAATAAGTATTTAAAAGGCATTTTTCACAGTAATATATACTGTCAAATATATGTTACAATGCGACACATCTAGCCATGAGGCTGTAAGTCTGCGTGAACCTCAGAAGGGGGAATTAACTTTGGCACTTGTCTAGGAATAACTAAGCTTCTGGAAGCAAGGTGGAGGGCTATTTATAACCCTAAACCTGAGTGCTGTTTGAGTCTGATCCAGTCTGGAGCCTGGTTTAGCCTACTAAGTGTACCATGGGCCTGATATAGCTATCCAACAGCCATTGAAATGATACTAACCTTACTAAATGTCTCACACAATGAGAGGACATCTTCAACCTAACTCTGTAGTCAGACATGGATGTGAACCTGCATTACACCATATGTAGGTGTGTGAATTCAGGCACATTTCTTAACCTCTTTAAACCTCAGCTTCCTATTCTATAAATAGCCATACTAAGAGCATTTCAATTGGTTGCTATGAGGGTTGAATGAGCATGTAACAAACTTAATACAGTGTTGAACATCTTATGTCTTCCAAATAAATGACCGTTGCTTTTATTATCGCCATTGATGGTTGTCTTTATTAATTTAATTATCTTTATTAATTTATCCTGGCCAGAACCAAAGGTGTTATTTATCTAATATCCTCTGAGGTTCAACTTTGTGCTAGTTCTCATTTTCCTGTTGCTCTGTATCTGAAATGCAATTCTATATCTTGTTAGTCCCTTTCTTTTATCATATGAAATAATACAACTTAGAACATGCAGTAGAAATCTATGTGAAGAACTCAGTAAAGTCTATACCATTTACTATAGTTTAATAAGCACTGGGATAAGCCACAGCAGACATGGATTTTATCCTCAGACCTCCCCTAACTACCGCGGAAGAGAGGTTTGATTGATGTGACCTGCACTCCTCATCAGTGAAATTGAGGACATTGGGCTTCAGCTCTCTAAGATGCTTCTCTAGCTCCATACTTCCTTCAGTGTTTGGTTTCTTGGGGATAAGTGAATGGAAAGGGTAATGAGTAGTTGTCATAGGGCTTCTAATGTAGTGCAAAAGTGGTTGTGACAGAAGTGTAGCAGATGAGAGAAGAATATTCCAGGCTGAAGGAATAATGGCCTGTACCAAAATTCAGTACAAAAGTATCCCAATTATAAAACACTGGAAAGGGGGTACTATACCTATGGCCAAAAAAAAGTTGGAATTACAAAGACAAAGTGAAAAGTACATAATAGAGCAGCAGGCCAAACTCTTTGAATAGCCAGAGAATTACTGTGGTACCAACCTTAAAATGTTAAGTTCACTGAGTTGGCAATCTAATTTTCATTTGAGAAATATAGTTAATAAATCATTTCAGAAAAGGAATAACTGCATCACTGAGGTTCAGATGACATTGATCCTATGAACTGTGAAAAACAGGGAGTGGGAAATGTCCATCACCCAGAAATTCAAGGTTGCTTTTTGCTTCTTAAATTTATTACATTCAATTATTTTGTGGGTCACTACAAAAGGCCTTCCTTGAACCCTTTAACACCCACAGGGGAAAGAAAGAAACAAAAGTTTAATTTCATATTTAGGCATTTTCCCATAAAATGTATCATGAATCAGGTGCAAAGGACCGTAACCCAAAAGGACACCCGAAATGGTTCAGCCAGCTGACCTCCTGAATTACCTGGCAGTACACCCCCAAATGGAGGTGGGACACATACTCATAGGCATCTTAATAACTTGTGCAGGGCTAAGCAAGAAACGTTTTTAGACATCCTTCTTTAAGACAAACTAAAGGCCACATGACACAGAATATCTTGGGAACAGGAAAAAAATACTATTTATATTTAGTTAGCAAATTCTTAACTAAAATTGGTAATCCGTAAACCTGATATCCTCCTACAGAAAGAAAACAGAAATTAGTGTTAAGGAACCTGACTTCAAATCTTGGCTATGCTGTGGTCATGAGTAAGTCACAGACCTCAGAGTTAGTTTCAATCTGCAAAACAGGGTAATAATGCTACTTAATTGAATAAAATGGGCCTTAAATAAACAAATACATGAAATTCTGAATGAAACATATAGTACATAGAAAGCTCTCAGTAATTGTTATTAATTTAGGTGCCAGAATGACTTCTCCACGGAAAAATTGAGTAAGGTGATTTTTATAAATATTGACTGAAAATCTCCAACAGGAATTACTGTGTGTCTACATTAATGTTCACCCCCAAATACCAAAACCACATATTCTGTTTTTCACTTGTCTGATTAAAAAGGAACCAGCACAGCATTCAACTGGGAAGTTGTCAAAAGCACCACCTGTCTTGTTTTCTTACAGCTGTCAAAAGCAGATTTTAGATCCACCTCTCAAATTTTTACCCCAACTACAACCAAACTGTGTCTGTATTCAAAATACTTTAAAGAATCCCTTTAAAGTAAGATAGAAAAAGAAGTGTGTGTGTGTGTGTGTGTGTGTGTGTGTGTGTGTGTTGCTGCCAAGGCAAAATAATAACAACTATGTTTTAGGTATATATAACATGAAAAAAATTGTTTTAATCTTAAGATAGAATTCACCATTTGAAGTGAAAGAAAAAGGAGTTTAGGAAAACAATTAGAAGTCTAACACTTAATTGCTTTATTTTTAAAGTTGGATTGATTTCTAGTGTGTTTGTGAAATTTCCAATTTTGTGTTCCCATCTACAGAAAAATAGATACAAATTTTTTAGAGCTCTTGTACCTTAATCACAGAAATTTCATCTTTGTGTGTGTATTTATATATGCTGGTTGGAATGAAAAAAAACAAATTTAAGGTTTCCATTTTTAAATACCATAAAGCAAAAATGCTCAAAATCATCTTTCTACATTTAAACATTAAATATAATATTTTAAGTTTATCACGGTCTCCATCCTTGCAAAGCTTCTAATTTTTGCTAGATGAGAGATCAGCCATGATGTTACATGACTGTAGCTATTTATAGAGGTGTAGATGACAACTGTTAACTTGTGGGGCTTTTGGTGTAGCAGAGAACAGTTTCCACATGCAAAATTTCAGAGAAATCTTTTCTCCTTCCCCCAACGCACATATCTGGCAGCTTCTCACCTTGAATCCACTTCCCAGATCTTGTATAAAATCACTGAACAAGATAATTACCTAAAAGCAACATTTTAAATGGATGCATTGATGGTCTCTTTGACTGTCAATTTATACCACGTCCCCCCTATGAGACTCTATTGGAAGATGGTAGCAATACCTTCAGCAGTGATCTCAGTCATGGTGGTCGGGTAAAGTGAATCAGGTGGAAGGTCCGTCAAGTGGTTCTTTGCAGAGTACTTTACGATTGGAGAACTCTGGTAGAAGGGTCTGTGTTAAAACGTGAGGGCTCTTCGTTTTCCTGGCTGTTTCTCCTGCTGATTTGTTGTCCTGTTGAACTTTGCCTCTTCTCTGCAGAGTTCTCCCCCTGGAAACAACCTAAGCCCTTTCCAAAGCAGCACTTGTGGCTCAGCTAGGAGTATCAGCTTAGAACAAAAATAGCTTCATCTCCCTAGGACTCTTCAGCACTTTTTTTTTTCCCCTTTTGGCACTCTAGAGGAACACACACACACACACACACACACACACACACACACACACACGCTCTTAAGCCCCAGAGATAGGCCAAAAAAAAAAAAAAAATCCAAAGAACTAAAAAGTATTGTCTAAGCCCCCGCAGTTTCTCTAAGATAATTACAGATCTTGGGGTCTGTGTCAGAAAACAAGAAATAAAGAGTTGAAAGTAATCTTACCCATGATTGCTCAGATTTATTCTTAGTATCCTTAATGCTCAGAACATTCTTCTCTCCCTTATTTGGTTTGGGGAGTGTCCTGTAATGTCTACCAGAGGCAAAGGGGAGGGCAATCTTAAGTAATTTTCTCAAAGTTGATTCCCTATTGGTCCAAATCTACTTAGCAGGTGCAGTTACTTATATAGGGATAAACTTAAAATTCCCAACAATGAAACCCTGAAGTTTTCTTCTAAAGTAGTAATGTTGTACAACATTAATAACTTCTAAACTCTAATCAGTAAAAATATATAATATGAAGTAAATCATGTTACTTGAGAACCAACAAAGAATTTACTCATTTTTTTCTTTAATACCTTACAGAAAACAAAATCTTTGAATTTACAAATGAAGGAACAGAAAGGGAAGGTGACATGAAGTTTAGAAATCCACAGATAATATTTCAGAGAAAGACTTGACTTTTCCCTAGCTCCACTTTAAAAACAAGAATCATAGGATCAGCTAACAATTAGCCAAATTGGCTGATTAGCATTTCACCTTCCCACTCCTAGACAGGTGTTAATGAGCAGAGAAATATTCAATAGTTGGTGGTTGGAAGGAGAAGGAGAATCAAAGGGCATTGATAATCATAAACTCTAACCAGTCCCTGAATAATCAAGGGTTGACTATATTATCTTTTATTTTTTCCTCATATTCAACCTAATAAATGCTTATAGTTTCATCTTTTAACCTTAACTTGCTGCCTTTGGTTGTCAGAACCTCTTGGATTTGTATAACACTTCATAGCTCATAAAACAAAACTATGTCTGTTATTTGAAAATGTGAGGCTTAGAAGAGTGCTGTGACAGCTATTTGCAAAGACAAAGACATCCTCCATGTCAGAGGCTTTGCCTTTATTTATTGCTCCAATTCCTGGCACAATAGAAAGTGCTCAGATATTAGGTAAATAAATAAATTAGTAAGTACTCAAAATTCTAGATAAGACTAATGATTTAGATAAGATGTTACACCTAGGACTGGTTCCAGAGGTTATTGACTACAAATAAGGCTGGTATGTACCCCAAGAGGTGAGACCTTATTGCATATTATTTGCAGGTTAAGGGGATTACTGCAAAATGGAAACATGCAAAATCCTGACAGCAGATCCTGGAGCCCTAGTTTGGTCTGGAGGAGGTATACTAAGAGCAGAACTCTCCTCACTGTGTCCACAAAGACATCTCCATTCAATTCTGCTGCAATGCTTCCAATTTTAAGAAAACATAGCCCTTCATATCTTCAGTCATCAGTCACTTTCATATTCTTTCACTGTGGTTAACTGAAGGAATCATATCATGTGTAACTCATTAAGAATTTTCATGGGTCAGAGCCTAAATAAATTATCTAACTTAGAGGAAAAAAACTCAAGCTCAAATTGATTATTCAATAAAAAGTTAAAATGTGACTATAGAGCAAGAATACTAAATTCCTAGTGACTGATATTACTTTTAAGTTTGCAATCACTAATTTCATATTATACACATAAGAGTGTAAAAGAGGAGAAAAAATAATTCTAGCCAATACAGGATAATAATTTCTTTTAAATCCATCCATGAGATTATTTGATTAAATATATTAGACATTGAGAAATTAGTGTATTTCTTATTCTGAAAAGATACTAAAACTCTCTCAAATTCTTCAAAACCTAATTGGTGAGGCAATATCTTTGGATTCCAGATAGAATTCTGCAAAGATTTCCCAAACCAAGTAACTAACATTCTTCCAAGTGTATATACCTTTTTATAGGCAAATCAAAGAATAAGGCACCACAAACCTTGCTTTTGCCCCTCTTCATTATTAAAATATGTCCATTACAGAAAGTTATTACTAGTTCACTGGGCTCTTCCAGCATGACCCAGAAGTGAAAGTTTCTCTTCTCAGCAATGGCTTCTGATGTATTCTCTCAGTTGCTATTTCTGTACCATCAGCACAGGTAGACTTATCAAAGTTTTGCACATAGGGACATTTGTGAAACTGGAACATTAAAAACGGATCTAGTCTATGTAATTCAATAATAATCTGGCAATATTTATTCTGTTCAATGGTGCATTTAGGCCAACCTGACTCTCCACCCTGATTATTCTAATATTACTCCTTTGTGATTTTCACTAGGTATTCTATATACTAAAGTTAGTAGATAAAAATGTCTTACCTGGAGAAATTTTTTTACCAGGTTGCTTTTCCTTTTATTATCATAAACAAATAACTAGTAAGAATTATACTGTATTTGGCTATAAATAGTGTTTTTCATTCATACTGAATTTCAAAGTTTAAAAAAGATTCAGAACATAGGCAGAGAAGTTTTGTTTAATTTTGGTTTGCACAAAATAAAATAAAAAGCCATTAAAGACCATATTGAATTATCTGACTCAGTTCCAATTTGTTTTGTCTCTGGAGAAATAAGAAGAGACATAATTGTGACTAAATAGCTATTTTATGCCTGTCTCCTAATTTCTCAAGTTCTGGGGATATTTGGAAGAAAGTGGAGTTTTAAGGCTATGTCTCAAAGTCTTCTGTTTTTTTAGTTTACAGACACAAATGGTTTATATACATACATTGTTGATAACTGGAAATACTGTAATTATCTCTGCTCATTAGACCACGTTTTTATTCCAATTTGTTATGTATGACAGCAGAATGCATTTCAATTCATATTACACATATACAGCATAATTTTTCATATCTCAGGTTGTACACAAAGTAGAGTCACACCATTCCTGTCTTTATACATGTACTTAGGGTAACTGCCCATCTTTCCTGCCCCTATGGTGCCTCCCTTCCTTTTCTCCCCTTTGTTCTATCTAGAGTTCATCTAATCCACCTATGCTCCCCACCCCCACCCCATTATGAATAAGCATTCTTATATCAGAGAAAACATTCAGCACTTGGGTTTTGGGGATTAGCTAACATCACTTAGCATTATATTCTCCAACTCCATCCATTTACCTGCAAATTCCATGATTTTCTTCTCTTTTAATGCTGAATAGCATTCCATTGTGTATATATACCACATTTTCCCATCCATTCATCAATTGAAGGGCATCTAGGTTGGTTCCACAGTCTAGCTATTGTGAATTGTGCTGCTATAAATATTGATGTGGCTGTATCCCTGTAGTATGCTGTTTTTAAGTCCTTTGGGTATATACCAAGTAGTGGTATAGCAGGTCAAATGATGTTCCATTCCAAATTTCCCAAGGATTCTCCATACTGCTTTCCATATTGGCTGCAACAAATTGCAGTTCCACCAGCAATGTATGTCTTTTTCCCCACATCCTCACTAACACTTATCTTTGTTTGTATTCTTTATAGCTACCATTCTAACTGGAGTGAGATGATATCTTAGAGTAGTTTTGATTTACAATTCTCTAATTGCTAGAGGTGTTGAACATTTTTTTTCATATATTTGTTGATTGATTGTATATCATCTTCTGAGAAGTGTCTATTCAGTTCCTTGACTCATTTATTGATTGAGTTATTTGTTTTTGTTTTTGTTGTTGTTGTTTTGTTTTTTGGTGTTACGATTTTTTAGTTCTTTATATACCCTAGAGATTAGTGCTCTATCTGATGTGCATGTGTAAAAAATGTAGGCTCTCTGTTCATCTCACTGATTGTTTCTTTTGCCTGGAAGAAGATTTTTAGTTTGAATCCATACCATTTATTAATTCTTTATTTTAATTTGTGCACTATAGGAGTCTTATTAAGGAAGTCAGGGCCTAATCAAAGTACATTTGTGGGATATCAAAGTGGAATAGAAAGTGACATTTATTTGGCTCTTAAGATAATAATCCGCACAACTTCTATGTGAACCTAAGTTTTCAGGTTCACTTTAAAAGAATTATTTGAAAAAAGTTTGGGGAGACAGAGTGGCAGGATGTAAGAAACTTTCACAGTTAAAAGCAAACAAAATAAAAACCACTGTTTTAGTGCTTTGGTTGAAGTAGTTTATCAGGGGAAATATAGAAAAGAGCCTTCTTTTCAGCTTTGTAGTTGAAGGAAATCTAGGTTTGGAAAGAATAAATATTGTGTTTTTAAACCTTAGAAGGAAGAAATAGAAGAAAATAGGAACATTGGTACATTGGAAATATACATGGGACCACTTGATTACATTTGCTTTCATTTGACCCTGAAATAAATCCTATCTTATGACATAGAAATTCTTCTGAATCTTGCTCTTGATAAACTTCACCTTCAGAACTATAAGTAAAAATCATCAGTTAAACTATTAGTTCATTATTCTTACTTCATCTCAATACTTCTACACACTTTATTTATAAAGTTGTTTTATGTTCTGTTTGTGTCATGGCAAACTTCATTCTGCCCTTATTACTTTCCTTATTACTTTCTCCAAATGGCCTGTGCTCATTTCTTTAATCAAACTTTGGAACTCATTCCTTTGGTTTGGCTTACCATCTGATTATTTAGAAACAGTGTAATCCAGATAGTTTCAAATTTCAGAAAGCATTCTAGGGCAATTAAAAACTTTCCTTACTTTAACTCTGACTCATGAATAGCTTAGTCTCCAATATCAGGCTTCATTCCCCCACACACATCTGACATTGTCAAACAACCTCTTAGAAATTTGCCTACGTCAATGGAGTCTTCAGTTAACAAAGGCAAGGTAGTTGCCCCTACCTTTGTAGAGATTCCATTCTCTGAAGACCTGGCATCTGTCCACTACCCCTGTCCTCTTTCTTGGGATCTGCAATATCCTGCAGTAGGTGGTCCCTGTGTAGCCCATAATAATTCAGATCACTGCTTTCTGTTCTGCAATCT